ACCTAGTCGCGCGCGCCGACCTTGCTTCGGTGAAGTAATTACTTTTGTGTCCTTCGTGCCAGGGCCCTCAAACCCTGCAGCGGCGTTCGTTCGAAGTATCTCCGAGGTTTCTCGGCATTCGGCGAGAGGTCATTTAGAATACAAGAACCCTGAACACCAATAACACCACGAAGACGCAGCCGAACTGATGTCCCCGTCAATCAGGGATAACCAATCTGGGTGGTTCGCTTTGGCACATCTTCTGAAACATACCCCTATTATTCCCCACATGTTTCGTGGGGTTCTGGTTTTCTTCCCTGCCGCGCCGCACCCGCGACACACCCTCACACACCTCACTCTTCCCCTCCTCTTCTTCCTCTCTTCACCCGCGCTCAACACATGCAACAACATGCGCGGCAAGTACATGAGACACGCGTCTACATACAGCCGCACGCACACACACACACACACACTGACACACACACACACACACACTCGCAAACACAAGACGCACGTTCACTGCATCACAGGCCGCGCACACATCATACACATACACATGACACACAATATATAAGACGTGCGTGTAGGATTCGCAGTGCATGGCAAGCGTGGCACTTTCTCGTCACCATAGGGGCAAACACAAGACGCATGTTCACTGCGTCAGGCCGCGCACACATCATACACAAACACATGACACACAATATATAAGACGTGCGTGTAGGACTCGCAGTGCATCGCAAGCGTGGGACTTTCTCGACACCATAGGGGGTGCGCAGGATGTGGTCTCTCACCGCTGTCTCTATACGCGCCAGTCGTCCAGGCGTAGCAAGCGTTGCACTTTCTCGACGCCATAGGGGGTGCGCAGGGGGTGGTCTCTCGCCGCCGTCTCTATACGCGCCAGTCTTCCAGGGCACACCAGGCATGGCATATTCTCGACACCATAGGGGGTGCGCAGGGGGTGGTCTCTCACCGCGGTCTCTATACGCCCCGGTCGCCCGGGCATAGCAGGTGTGGCACTTTCTCGACACCATAGGGGGTGCGCAAGGGCTGGTCCCTCACCGCGGTCTCTATACGCCCCAGTCGTCCAGGCACAGCAGGCGTGGCACTTTCTCGACACCGTAGGGGGTGCGCAGGGGGTGGTTTCTCACCGCGGCATCTATACGCCCCAGTCGTCCAGGCACAGCAGGCGTGGCACTTTCTTGACACCATAAGGGGTGCGCAGGGGGTGGTTTCTCACCGCGGTCTCTATACGCCCCAGTCGTCCAGGCACAGCAGGCGTGCCACTGTCTCGACACCGTAGGGGGTGCGCAGGGGGTGGTCTCTCACCGCGGTTTCTATACGCCCCGGTCGTCCAGTGGCGACACCAGGGGGTGCGCATGGTTCTCACCGCGGTCTCTATTCGTCGCACCTCGGGGGGTGCGCAGGGGGTGGTTTCTCACCGCGGTCTCTATACGCCCCGGTCGTCCAGGCACAGCAGGCGTGGCACTTTCTCGACACCATAAGGGGTGCGCAAGGGCTGGTCTCTCACCGCGGTCTCTATACGCCCCAGTCGTCCAGGCACAGCAGGCGTGGCACTTTCTCGACACCGTAGGGGGTGCGCAGGGGGTGGTCTCTCACCGCGGTTTCTATACGCCCCGGTCGTCCAGGCACAGCAGGCGTGGCACTTTCTCGACACCATAGGGGGTGCGCAGGGGGTGGTCTCTCACCGCGGTTTCTATACGCCCCGGTCGTCCAGGCACAGCAGGCGTGTCACTTCCTCGACACCATAGGAGGAGGAGGAGGAGGAGGAGGAGGAGGAGGAGGAGAAGGAGGAGGAGGAGGAGGAGGAGGAGGAGGAGGAGGAGTCGGGAGGAGGAGGCGGAGGAGGAGGAGGAGAAGGAGGAGTCGGGGGGAGTCGGCGGAGACGGAGGAGAAGAGGAGGCGGGCCGTGTGCCTTTGCGTCGAAATGATGTGCGGCATCCAGCCGGTCCTCGTCTGGCTTTGACCGCGGGCTGCTCAGGTTTTTTCAGACAGGGCCTTTCCTCCTCCTCCCCCCTCTCCTGCAGCCCAGCTGCCTTGAATTGGCGCTTTTCTCTCCTCCGCCTCTGCCTCTGCCAGGCATCGCTAGTTTCCGCGTCGTTATATATTTCACACGATGCTTCGTGTTGCTGCGTGCTCTCTGGGGCCCATCGGTCGCGTGCGCGATGGTAACCGTGGCTTCCCTGTCCTCCTTTCCTGGGCTTCGACCGTCCGCCGCCCCCCGTTTTCTCTTTCGTTGTCTACCTCCGCTCCTCCCTCCCCTCGCCTCCCCCCCCTCTCGTCCTCTCCCTCTTGGCTCCTTGGCTTCCTCCCGCTGTCTCTGCCTTGCCCCACCTCGGGGCGGCGACCTGACGAGGGTGCGCGGTAGTCGTCGTCGTCGTCGTCGTCGTCGTCGTCGTCGTCGTCGTCGTCGTCGTCGTCGTCGTCGTCGTCGTCGTCGTCGTCGTCGTCGTCGTCGTCGTCGTCGTCGTCGTCGTCGTCGTCGTAGTAGTAGTAGTAGTAGTAGTAGTAGTAGTAGTAGTAGTAGTAGTAGTAGTAGTAGTAGTAGTGGTAGTGGTAGTAGTAGTAGTAGTAGTAGTGGAGGAGGAGGGAAGAGGTGGAGAAGGGAGGAGGAGGTGGAGGAGGAGGAATAATAATAGAAGAGAAGAAATGGTGGCTGAAGGCACGGCGAGAAAGGTCGGTGTCGTTGGTCCGCCGGAGCTCTGGGCGGCCCTCCTGGCCCCCCCCCCCCCGCCCCCTGCCACTCCCGCCCCTTCCGGGGCCCGAGGGGGCACTGCGTCGCTGGAGGTCTGACCGTGTCTGGCGGCGGCGACGACGACGACGGCGACGCACTTCGAGGTTCGAGGATGTTTTTTGCTGCTCTCGGCGTCTGGAGGCTTGTTCAAAGCCCCGGGGCCGCCGGGAATCACTGCCGCGCCATGTTTTTCGTTGGTGCCGTGCCGTGCCGTGCCGTGCGCGGCCGTGCACTCCCGTGCTGTGCCGTTGCGCTGCCATGCCCTGCACTGCCGTGCCGCGCATTGCCTTTCAATTCTGCTTGAGGGCTCTTGGGGAGCACCAGCCCCCCCATGGCCACTTGCATGCCTGGCGCTACGGCGCCCGCATGCAACGCCCTGGCCGGCGGCAGCTGCGATTTCGAGTTCCGAGTTGCAAGTTCTCCCGTTCTCTCCCGCCCCTCCTTACCCTCCCCCCATCCCTTCCTTTCCTCTCCCGAGGGTGCGGAGGAGTTGACGCAGGGAGTTGAGAGGAGCGCGGAGGAGTTGAGAGGATGAAGAGTTGAGAGGAGTGCGAAGGTGTTGGGAGGAGCGCGGAGGAGTTGAGAGGAATATTGAGAGGAGTGCGGAGGAGCGCAGAAGGATGAGCGCAGAAGCAACTGAGAGGAGGAGTTGAGAGGAGCGCGGAGGAGTTGAGAGGAACGCGGGGGACTTGAGAGGAGTGCGGAAGAGTGGAGAGAAGTGCGGAGGAGTTGAGAGGAGTGGTTCTGGGCCCCAAGACCGCCAGGAATCGATCTGGGACGAAAAACTATGTCGGGGAGGTCGATCGAGGGGACGACGACGTCGACGACGACGACGAGTACGACGAAAACGACGACATTGATCACTATTCCCCTCCCTCCATTCCCTCCTTCCCCTCCCTCCATTCCCTCCCTCCATTCCCTCCCCTCCCCTCCCGAGGAATGCGGGGGACCTGGAGGAAGAGGAGGAGGAGGAGGAGGAGGAGGAGGAGGAGGAGGAGGAGGAGGAGGAGGAGTTGAGAGGAGTGCGGAAAAGTTGCGAGGAGGAGGAGGAGTTGACAGGAGGGCGGAGGAGTTCAGAGGAACGCGGGGGATTTGAGAGGAGTGCGGAGGTGTTGAAACGAGTGTGGAGGAGTTGGGAGGAGGAGTTGAGAGGAGTGCAGAGGAGTGCAGAAAGATGAGTACAGAAAACGGTGAGAGGATGAGTTGAGAGGGATGCGGAGGAGTAGGGGGAAGTGCGGAGGAATTGAGAGGAGTGCGGAGGAGTTGAGAGGATTGGGTGGGACGAGGAGGAGGAGGAGGAGGAGGAGGAGGAGGAGGAGGAGGAGGAGGAGGAGGAGGAGGAGGAGTTAGAGGAGGAGGAGGGACGACGACGACGATGACCACGAGTGCGGCGACGACTACGACGAGCACTACGAGTACAACGAGTACGACGACGACGAGTGCGACGACGAGTGCGACGAGCACGACGACGAATGCGAAGATGAGTACGACGGCGAGGTACGACGACGAGTACGATGACGAGTAAGACGATAAAACGGCAACGAGTACGACGACGAGTTCGACGAGTGCGACGACGAGTACGACAAGTACGACGACGATTCGCGACGAGGGTTTGGAACGAAGGATTGCGCATAGATGATAATGACAAGCAAACGCATAAGATTAAATATCAGTATGTGGGGTTCCTCGGTAGCGTAATTCCGAATGTCTTGGGCCACTGAACTGAGGTCCGCTCCCAAAGGGTCAGGGGTCCGCTCCCAAAGGGTCAGGGGTTCTGAGAGCCTTTGGCCACAAGCCTTGAGAAATCCTGTCAACATACTCTTTTCGAGTAGTGGACTTCGAGTGCGCGCACTGCTCCTTAAGATTCCCAGAGGAGGAAGCCAGGGTCCCGTGGGCCAGGGGTCAGGGCCTGGGGGTGGGGCCTGGGGCAGGACAGAGTCTCGTACGGCCAGGGCAAACGAGAGGGGAGGGGGGACGAACGACGACGAACGAAAGAAGCAGCTCCGAGCTCCAGGACATGGTGTGCAAGAGATGAGACTTCGAGCTCCGCAAGAGAATATGGCGCCAAGACGGCCTCGGAGGCACCAAAGGAAGCCACAGAGGGCCTCAAGAGGATCCGAAGAGGGCCCCGGTCTCCACCTTGAGGTCCCCACGAGGGCCGAAGAGGGCCTGCGGGTGAGCCCCAAAGGGCCCCAAGACGGGGCAGAGGGCCCCGAATATGGCCCGCAAGCGCACAGATATGCCTTAAGAGAGCTCGAAGTTGGCACCACAAGAGTCCACGGGGGCTCAAGGGTGCCAAAGATAGCGTCCACCCAGGCGGTCAACAGGCATGTTGGCTCAAACACGTCTCGGCTTGCTACGGCAATGTGGTTCTGCAGGCCCGAGCGGATCACCCCGCCAGACACGCTGCGCGAGGTGCCAGTGGAGAAGACGGATGCCGCGGTCAATCGGGCATGGGAGGGAGAGGCCATGCCGCAGGCAGACGTGGTGCCATTGACCGCTGGCATGCTGCGGGCAGGTATGGACGCCCTCGCTGCTGGCATCTTACCGTGGGATTGCCATCGATTCAGAAGGGTGAAGAAGCTGCAGCAGGCTGAGCGGAACCACGGGTGCGTGGAGCTCATGCGCGACGGCGGCAATTTCGTGGCCGTGAAGAAGATGCCGACGAGGTGGATCTGTGGTTCGCCCGACGAGTTCGACGCGCAACACCCGAAGGCCGATGAGAGGCCGTGGATGGATGTGGGCATCGTCAGACTCCTCAACGAGGTTAGGTACCCGTATTGCGTCAAGCTGCTAGACATATTTGCGGACGACAAGAGCACTTACGTGGTCAGCTCGCTGGCGTCCGAGGGCGACCTCTTCGCCTGGTGCGAATGCGCATCGAAGCCTGGCCTGCATAGAGAGGCAGCGATGTACCCCCTCGTGAATCAGATCTTCACGGGAGTGCGATGGCTGCATGACTTCGGTGTTGCTCATCGAGATCTGTCTCTGGAGAACATATTGCTCCACAGCGAGAATGGTGACCTAAGGGTCCAGATCATAGACTTCAGCATGTCCACGCTTGACCAGTCGGCGTCGGCGGAGGTCAGGGGGAAGCCGTCGTACCAGGCCCCAGAGATCCACCTGCCGCAGCCCTTCGACACTGAGATGACGGACTCGTTCTCCCTCGGCGTGGTGATGTTTGCCATGGGCGCGGAGGACTATCCGTGGAAGACTACCAAACGGAAGGCTTGTGAGCTCTTCGAGTACGCCTGCATGTTCGGCTTCTCGAGGCTGCTCAGCAAGCGCCGCCTGCGCAAGGGCGGCGGCGAGAGCTTGGCCGAGGTGTTCTCCCCAAGTTTTACGGCGCTGCTGGCTGGCCTTTTGGCTAAAGATGCAGGGAAGTTGGAAGAGGAAACAATTACACAGACATACATTTTCAGATCTCTGCGCGGATGTCTTGCGATCTGCGTTGGACACCATCTGGCGGCGTTTCCGGCGCCACCCTCGGCGTGCTCCGCGCGCCATGGAGGGGTATCACTGCAGATCCAAGAATCCGCGTAGTCCTCCGAAAGTTTATGTCGATGATTTTTTTCGTTTCCTATAAGCGGCTCACTCTGGGTGAGAGACGTTTTGAGACGCCCGAGAATGGCCGCGATCGGCGGAACAGCGTATGGGATTGCAAGTGGATGCAGCAGCCTCCGATCACGACGACGGAGGTCGGAGCCATGGCCGCTATGCCATGCGGAACAGCGTGCACGGTGTGCCCCTGATTTTCGCAACGCTCGGCTGACGGGTACGGATCATATGAATCCGGGCAAGTTTTCGTGTTGCAACCGTTGGGCCAGCAGCCTGAAACCCATCGTTAGATATGCGGATTGGGGACTTACCTTGGGGACCTAACGGGTTTGTTCGACTATTGTTTGGATCTATTTCAACCAGATTCGACTCTAGCCCGACTCAATTTCGACGCAAGGGCGACTCAAGTCGAAGGACGTTTGACGCAATTATCGCCGCCTGAGTGGAGCGAGTGGCTCCAGGAAGGTCCCCAGAACGAGCATCAAACGATCCTTCTCGCAGGAGGTAACGTGGCTTCCTCGCTCGCTCTCCCCTCTCCGCCAACGGAGCTGCTGCTTCTCATCACCCTGTCATTTCCAGGCGATTCTGGGGGCCTCGTAGGCAGTCAGTCTTGGGCGCTGTACAGAGTGGCCGCAGTGGTAAAATCACACCAACATCAAAGCAGTGTTTGAACTATTTTGCCTTTTTCTGTCATTCTTCGGGGTTCTCTTGGGGCCCTCGTCGGCCGTCTCGCGTGCCTCCGAAGCCCTGTGGAGGCCATCCTGATTCGTCTTGGGTCAATATGGTGTGGTGCCTTTAAGGAGGCACCAGCTACTTGGCCTCGTGCCATCCTGAGGGCCATCCTGGAGGCCAGGTAGGCCCGGAAGAGTCCTGCAGGGGCTCGTCCATGGAACTTCCGGGACACACCCCCCTCGACTGCGCAATGTTAGTATTGGTGGAAGGAAATTGCACGCCTGGAGACCCCAAAGGGGTCGACGGATGACGGGAAGCGCTTTCTGGGATCGAGGAGATGATGGGAGTTTGTCAGACCATGTTGCGTAAGGCGCTTCAGAAGATCGAAGCGAGGACCAGCTGGTTCGCGATTGCAACGTATCTGTCGTTCCTTTCAAACAGGCCTTCTCGCCTGAGAAATCAAGCGATTGGAAAGTTGGATGAGTTGTGTTAAGACGTGCTATCACCTCAAGTGACGCTTTCGCTTGATACATTCTGAACAAGTGGAGATGTTGAGTTTGGTAGGGGAATCGCTCGAATACTGAGAACTGTCAGTTTTGTTTGAGACATCCTCAACACACGAGATGTTCAAGGAGTTGTTTTCAAACGCTTGATTATTCAACCATCCTTTCAAATGACGTGCTGAAGGGGTTGCCTCAGAACGTATTCTATGGCGGGAAGTGCTTTTACGTCGTGGTTGTCGCTATCATCAGTAGCATCGTCGTCGTCGTCGGCATCATCATCATCATCATCATCATCAGCAGCAGCAGCAGCATCATCATCATCATCATCTTCATCTTCAGCATCATCAGCATCATCATCAGCATCATCATCATACTCAGCATCATCATCGTTGTCGTCATTTCGCCCCCATTGTCAGTACCAACACACATGAACACGCGCACACGATGCAACACATAACATATTCAACGCGCATAACACAATACGCCCAATCGCACGAAAACACAAACCAGGGCAAACGCCGCCTCTGTCGCGGTGGGCTCGCCGTGGGTTTGCCGTTGTGCCGGCGTCGTCTATTTGGGCGCGGGGCGCAGGGTTTGTCGCGGGTTTGCCCTGGTGCCAGCGTCGTCCACTCGTGCGCGTCGAGAACAAGCCGCGTGGCGACACATACTCACATTCACCGCACAAGCCACACTTGCACTACGCACCAAAGGCACGCACCCCGTACGTACACCGTACACGCACCCCCGCCCGCCTGGCAGGCAGACAGCCCGCACGCCGCACGCCCCCCCTCCCGCCCCCTAGGCACACACTTTGTGGCGGCAGCGGCCTCGCTCGCGGCAGCGAGGCGGAGACAGGATGAGTACGAAGCGCGGAGCCGTGGCCTGGCCCTCAGGCTTGGCTTGGATTCCGCAGCACCTAGTGCCATGTAGCACATCCAGGCGTGGATGGCAGGGAGATTACACGCCAGTCAGAAGGAACCTGCCCGACGGGGCCGAGCATGAGAATGAGGATGGGCGCCATACAGCACATCCAGGCGTGGATGGCAGGTAGGAGACACGCCGCTCCCGCTCAAAATGCGGGAGCATGGTATGCGACGTCAGCCAGGGAGGGTATACGCACGTGCACACACGCACACAGCCGCACACATCGGCACGCAAACGCACACGCGCGGGGCGCAGCTTCAAGCACGGCGGCTCGAGAGCCAATTTCTTGACGCCGCAGTGCCGCGAGCCTGCTTCTCTTGAGACGCGACTGACCCCCCAGCCCTCATAGCACCGACAGTACCGGAACACACGCACACGCGCACGCATGCATCCACATACTCACGCATTTGTGCACAGACCACGCGCAACACCTGTCCAAAGCACCCGCAGGTAACCATTCAGCCGCCCGGAAGCCACACCGTACACGCACCCCCGCCCGCCCGCCAGGCACACCTCGCACGCACGCCGTGCGTCCCAACCCCGCCCGCCAGCACCGTACACACGGCGCACACACGCCGTTCCCCCTCCCCCTTCCCGCCCCTTCGGCACATAACCTGACAAAGGTGCGCACGCACACGTACACAGCCGCACACAGGCACACGCGCACACGCGCGGGGCGCAGCCTCCAGCACGGCGGTTCGAGAGCCAGCTCGGGGGCGCCGCAGTGCCGCGAGCCTGCGTTGCCAGAGATTGGCGCAGCGACTGACACCCCAGCCCTCATAGCACCTAAAGTACCCAAAACACACGCACCCGCGCACGCACACATAGATTTACACACGCGCACACACGTATGAAAACCGATTACGCGCGACACTTGACCAGGGCAAGCGCAGGCAATCGCTGAACAAGAGCTATTCATGGCAACCTTCTAGACATGTAGGGGAGCCCAGCGACTGCACCCCATTTGCACATGCGTGCTGGGTGTTAATGCATGTGCGCGTGCGCACGCAAGCTCAGAAAAGCGGCGCTCCCCGTTGTTGCCCAGATAGGTCTCTCCATTTGTCTTACCTTTCCTTCTCCGCGTTCACATCATCAGCCTGACCAGCGTCTTGATGTTCATTTCTGACAAGCACTCCTGCCACAAAGCTCTTCCTGTATAGGCTTGGCACAATCGGATTATGTGATTTAATCGTGCGCCGTATCCAAGGCCCATGAGGAGCGGAGCTTGCTCATGGTATGCTCGATGCCCTCGCACTCATCGCGCCGTGCTGCAAGGGACAACTGTTTGAAACGCCTCGTTGGAAGTGAATGTTTTCACATCCTTGCCTTCTTGTGATCACTCCCTCACGTTTCCTTTTCATGTTCAGCCTCCTGCGGGTGCACGGAGTGGGGTGCCATCGCCGCGTCGAGGCGTCGCGACAAAGTTCGTGCTATGCACGAGGGGCAGTAGATGCGCTGAGCTTCGAGGCTTGGCCCAGGTCAGCGCTTGGTGAGGCCCGCTGGTGCTCCTCGTCAAGTTCTTGGGTGTGTACGTCTCCGTGTGCCCCTCGGCCAGGGTCGCCGTGCTTCAGCACGTTGAGCCCGCGTGCTCGCGTGCTCCAAAATGACCGTGTGGCAGTACGCGTTTCGCTAGATTGCGTGCTCCAGCGTGCCTGTTGAGCTCTGGTCATCTGCGATCCAGAGAGGTGTCTCTAGCACCCGTGCAGGGGGGGGCGGAGGGGGGGGGGGGCTTGCACGGGCAGGCGTCAGCCCCCCCGCCCCCTCCCAGGCCCAGGGTGCAGGCGACGGGGCTCTGTGTGTCTTCTTGCAGTTGGTTGACACGGCTCTTCTGGTGGGTACGTTCCGTCTCCCGTCCTGGCCCTCCTCTCGATGCGGCGAGGTTCAACGACGCAAGTGTTGGCTACGCAGGTCTGCGCGGCTCGCGTCTCCACACGTGGGTCATGGTTCCACATTGAAGCCCGACTTGCGCTAGCATTAGCACGGCATAGCATAGCACGGGTTTCATCACGCACGCCGCATTCTGTCCTGCATTGCAGAGCAGATGTCGTAGCGTAAGGTGCCCAGAAGTTGGCACTCCATGCATGATTGACGCGTCGCGTACTCCTGAGCCGATGCCCACGTGAGATGCCTTGTGAGCGTCGTGGGGGCCTTCTGGAGGCAATTCTGGGAGGAAGGGGGGGGGGAAGACGAGCAGGTAGGATGAGGAGGGGGGAGTGGGGGAGGATGAGGAGCATGAGGAGGAGGAAACGGACGAAGAGGAGACCGAGGATGTTTTCACAGATCTTTTGCGGTTGGAGCCTTTTGGAGGCGTCTTAGGGATCTCTTGTGTGGTATCTGAGCCTTCTTGAGGCGACTTTGGGCCCCATGACACCAAAAGGGGGTTCCCAATTCCCCCCCCACACACACACCCAAGTCGTTTCTTGGGGCTCTCTTGCAACCCTCTTGGAGGCCTCTTGTGACCCTCTTGGGCTTATCTTCGGGCTCTCTTGGGCAGTCTTGGGATCATCTTGAGGCCTCAGAGGCTAACCGGAAACGAACAGGCGACTCTGCTAACATCAGTTGTGTGTTTCTAGGTGTTGCTTTGTAAGATGTCGGCATCTTGGGAGCGTCTTTGGGTGGCTCCGTGGCCATTCGGAGCCGTGCTTGGACGGTTTGGGGGTTTCGCGGAGGCATCCTGGAGGCCATCTTGAGCCACCGCGGTATCGATGTAGCACAATCTGGGAGGCTATCTTGGGCTCTCTGATGCCATACTAAGCGCGTCCCAGGGATGCCGCCGAGAAGCTAAACTCGTTCAACTGCCTATGTCTGCGGTCGATGTTCTCGTTGATCAAAGCAGGAGGGGTGTATGATATTTAGCGTCGCCCCTCGTAGGCCAAGCGCTAGTCTCTTGAGGCGCTCTTGGGCGCCCTTGGGGACTTCTGAGAGCCCTCTCGGGGCCACTTTGAGGCATCATAAACCCCTCGAAGGCGAACAGGCGAGACCGCCAAACTCATTGGGTTCCTTGGTGTTGGTGGGATGTTGGCCTCTCTGGGGCGTCCTTGGCCAGCTCCGTGGCCACCTGGAACCGTCTTGGAGTGGTCGTGAGGTCTCTTGTATCATGTTAGAAGCCATCTTGAGCGATCTGTCCACTCGGCTTTCTGCGGCCATCTTGGAGCCATGTTGGACGGTCCAACGCCTCGAGGGGCGCCCCGTCCAGACCCAGAGGGGGGCGGGGGGGGGGGGTCAAACCCCTTCCCGAGAAGAGAAAGTGTGGCTGGAAGGGGAAGCTCTCCAAAACACGTGCCCAGAGGGCTGAGGGAATCTCAGCGGGCTGGTGGAATTCCACAGCAGTGCAGCAGAGTATCGGGTAGCGTATAGCATCGAAGACTCTAAAGTGAGCTGGGGTACATAGGGAGTGGAAGCGAACGTGTGCCCGCGGCCGCGTGGTTCAAGCGGCCGGCCGCCCAGATCTGACTACACCTCAGCGCGAGGCGTACTATTTGCCATCGATACCAAACAACTGCTTGAGATGGCTTGCCCCCTAATGCTGGGACTATCGCTACTACGGTACAACAGAGCGGGAGCTGGGCTTCGCCTAAGGCGAAGCTGTTGGTTGGGTCTCCCAACCCCATTCAACTTGGTAGCGGAGCTGGCCTATGGAGGTCAGCCTTTGCTTTACTCCTCACCATCCACGGCACAATCTTGTGGACTACAGACATGGTGGAACATCAGGGTCGTGTGGGTTTGCACGGAGGAATGAATATAACTACGCAGTACAGCAAGGACACTTGCAGGGACACTTCTGCTTACGCGGAGGCCTCTTACTTTCGTCCTACATCCCTGCGCTACTACACTCCTGAAGTCCACCCACCTACTCCAATTTTCAAACGTGTTATCGAGGACGTAATGCATGGAAACATGCGACACGATACAATGCCGCCTCCACCCCCACGCAGACTTACGATCACACGTCGGAAGCCCCAACCGACAACATCCGACTACGACCTACGAGGCCATTGGATTGGTGTTCTCAACTTTGGGCGCACGTGGGTCGCTATCGGGTGCGCGGTAGGACATATGCGTGGCGGAGAAGACGCAAGAACGACCGGCCCTCATTGGGCCCAGCCGGTCAGGTACCTTTTCGCGAATTCGCCCGCGAGGTACATGCCTGGATCAACGTGACCACAGGCAACAGGACGCCCTCCCAGTAAGCTGCAGCCCTGCAGCGGAGGTCTCGCACGGACCATAGCCACGAGAGCCCCGCCAGCAATTCTCAAGTTTGGCGTTCACATAGGTGGCCGCCATACCGACGGCGCCAGCTACATCATGTTCCTCTTAAGCACGAAGTTCGAGAATTTAGAAGAGGAGCGCCAATCCAACTCCTTGGCGCAGCTCTCATTGATTTCCGAGTCCACGCGGGAGAACGAATCGACCAGACGTTAGCACGTTTCGGGATAGCCCGCTATGAAGCTGAGACGGCAGGTTCTAACATCCCCAACTTCCAAATCATAACAGCTATTGTATTCAGAGCCCTTGGAGTTGGGACATCACGTGCACAGCAACTGCAGCCACTAAACCACCAATTGCCGAGAGACCAGCAACAGTTTGACGCCCCACTTGACCGCAGGGAGTCAGATGCACACATTGCTGAGATAACCCCTGGCAATATTGGAGGCATTTCCAGTCACGTTCATTGAACCGAGACCTTCCACGCCGGGGCAAACGCAGGGCAACCTGCAATTAACGTTTGGAATGACGACCCACAACCAACTGAGACCACTGCACTACTGGCTCAGAACGGTGGATCGGCCTCTGGGTCGCAAGACTCCTGGGCCAGGTTTCGGGGGCCGTCCGATGCGGTATCCCCCGCGCAGGCCGCAACCCTAATGGGCTCATCGGGGCAACCTTCCGAGTTTGACTTCGACTCCGGTATTGACGCCGATGCGTCTTCGGACGACGAGGCCAGAGCCCTTGACTATTCCGATATGCCTACATACCGCGCGGAAGAGCAACGAGCGCAATGTTTTTTTAGGGCGCCAGAAACATATGCGCTGATGGAGGCGATTGATGAAGAAGCCCGTCCGTGAGGTACGGCGTATCGCACGACGAGCACTCAAGGGAAAAAGGCAAGGGTCGAGGTAGGGGTAAAAGGGAAGCGCTGGCGATTGCATGGTGGAGGCGCATTAGCATTCCTAGCACCCCTTACCGGCCACAATATGAATATATATTTTAGGCGCAGGCAGGAAGTGCAGGCGCGCATCAGGAAAAGGTAGGGGGCGTCGGGGAAGCCCGACGGGTGCCAATGGCCAAGCTATGGAGTGTGACATATGCCATAGCACGCAACACTTTCGCCGCGAACGCCCTCAGGGCGATGGTAGAGGCAGAGGTCCGTCGATGCATTTGGCTCAAACTGATTCAGATTTACCGTGTGTTGACAGGGGGGCATTTTTTGCCGCACCTGCTGATAGCTCAGTTGTAGTTGCCAACTTCACGGCTGACGAATATTGAAATGCCAGTGTGTCCCTCGAGAATTGTGCCGACGAGCTGTTCGAGGAGGTAATCGCTGGCCACGATGTCACTGATCTGGCAGACTGGTTGGGCGCGCCCATCGCGGGGCAACCTGCGCGCTGAATTCGCCGAGAACTTCCGCGTGCCCGCCGAGTGAGATGCCGACGTGGCGGGGGCGCCCGCGCAGTCAGAAGCCGCGGCTCCTGCAGCAGAAGAGGAAATACAGTTGATGCGTTGTCTTTGGGTCGTTGGAATTCCGACAAACATGGAATTGAGTGATGATGGCCCTGTGCGGGGAAACCCGCGAGACGTTAGTGATCTTTCTGGGCGCATTCAAGATGATCTTGGCCATAATGAAGGGATGCAATACACATTCGTAGCTTCGGACCGCCCCGTGAGCCGCCAGGAGCGATCGACGAGCCGCCAGGTCGAAGACGAGGACCGAGAATGGGGAGATACTGATCGTCTGGTACGTCGCGGTCGGGCCCCCAGTCGCTCGCCCGACCGTGCGCGCGCGCCCCGGCGGCGCTCGCTCTAGCGGCCTTCAGCGCCCTCGCCCGCCTGATGCGGGAACTCCAAAGGCCCCTCCATGGCGGGCCAAGAGACCCGACACTCCCCCGACGGGACACCCGCCTCAGGAGGACCAGCCGCAAGAATAATATCCAGAGGGCGGAATCCAGCGCCGCGTTGGCTACGCGGAATCTGGATTGGCTCGTCAGTGCATGCGCCCAGATACGATGCGATATTGGAGGAATCAGGGCTGGATTGAGCACCGGATTCGTCGCTGGGGTTCTCTTCGCAATGCTGAGCGAGATGACGGCAAGACCACTCGTTCAACAAGGACAGGACCTGTCAAAATACAAGAAACGGTTATCAGGCGCGACCTCAAGAGAGCTATTGTCGAGGAGCGGAAGCTCTACAAAGGCGTTTGTTGCTCGCGCCCCGACTGCGCCGACCGCGGGCTCGGCTGCCCCGTGAGACGCCCTTCAAGAAGCCCGAACTTTAAAAGGGCTCCGTGGGTGTGGTCTCATGGCGATGGTCGGGGGCATTGCGCCGATCTTAATGCAACGCCACATGAGGAGCTGTTGACGGAAAAAGATTACGACCAAGCTACAACCGAAGAAATATCCCGATATTTTGGGACATGGGGAAACCTTTCACCTCTCAATCATTTGAAGCCGTTTACTCGCGATTGGCACGCGGGGAGACCCGCTTCCTATAAATCAGAGATGATCAGCAAGAAGCTGGTGAAGCTGAAGTTGAAGCGATGACCGAAGAGGTAGACCCCGCGGAAGCAGCTCCTGCTGGGGTCGACCCGGACCTCCCCGACGCCCTCACCACCGGCACGGACATCGCATGCGATACGGACACCCCTATCGATCCTAAGCATGTCGTCGCAGAAGAAATGGATCATTCCCCAGGAAGACGGATTGCCTACCGCGTTGGAGGTGTAGGCTGGGTCAAGACCATAATAAAACGGAGGTTTGGTTATGCCAAGTATCTCTTGCCTTTGAGGAAAAAGGCCGCTATCAATAATCTGGCATTCAAAGCGCCTGGCGGTATAGACCTGAAACCTGGCAAAGATCCTGCGCGCTGTGGGCCATGGGTACCTGCGGGGGCAACGGCTCAGGTTCCCAAGCCGAGGTCAGACCCGCCTACTGAGATTTCTTCATCTTCGGATTCGTCGAGTCC